ACTAAGGAGGTGCCACGGTCCTCCTCTTCTCCCGTCTGCGGTTCGGTAGCTGCTTACTACTATTATTATTTTTTTAATTTTTTTTTGTGTATCTTTATGAAGTTAAAGCCCCGCCTTAGGAGCGGGGCCAGTACCAATTCAGAGGGGCGAGATGGGATCAACAGGCCCGACTCAGTTGGTATGCCTATGAACTACGGAAAGGCAGACCCAAGGGTTCAACGTGCATGCGAGCCGGTGGGTGATGAGCCCACGAGCCGGAAGAAATTTGAGTGGCGGGGACTTACTGCGGGAGCACCGTCTGTTCCCAGCAGTCCGCTGTGAAGGGCTCTGTGTGTGGGCATGCCCGTTGGGGCCGCAGCAAGGACAGGGCAGCGGCCCAGGACACAGTTTGGGGAGTTTACTGTAGCAGCGGCCCCGCGGGACCCTTCTCGAATTCGGTCTTCAAACTTCTCATTTGAATATTTGCTACTACCGCCGAGGTCTGTACCGGGCCCGAGCCACCAAGGCTTGCACTTGCGCTTGCAGCGGGCCCGCACCCTCGACCCTGCGGCCTGCTGCGAGAGGGCTGTGTGGGAGTTTGCCTGTCGATGGACTGAAAGGGTGGCGGGCCCTGCGGCAGGGTAAACTCTGTGGAAGCTCGCAGTGACACAGTCGTGCAAATCGTTTGTCGGGCTTGTGTATAAGGGCGAAAAGCTATTCGAACCGGCCAGTAGCTGGTTTCCTCCGAAGTGCCCGCGAGAGAAAGCTGGAGCTGCTGAACAGCTCATACGGCCAAGGAACCGGCTGCTGTCGGGCGCTGCGCCAGCCCGGAGGAGGTCAACGGGGACGAAGATGGTAACGGGGAGCCGGTGAAGCTGAAAAGAGAATGAATGTGGACGCGAAGTGGTGCCGGGTGCATGCAGACGAGGGTGGAAATGTCGCAGGTGGAGAGGAAGGAAGAAGAGGCGAAAGGAAGCGATGAATAACTTGCCCGGAGTAAAATTCGGAATCAAGGTTTTTGGGATGGCGATCCCGAATTTGCAGTTAGTTTGGGTAGAAGATCAGTAGGATTAGAGTTAGAAGAGAAATTAGGTGCGCGGGGAGATGGCAGAAGCGGATACGTCAGGGCTAGAGAATGGAAATTTTACTCGATTCTGAACTGAATCGAGCAAACCAAAAAGCTAAGTAGAGGGTTTTTATCATTGCGAGGATGATGGCAGGGTCAGTTTCGGTTTTAGTCGATGGTTGGGTTGGTACGGACATCGTGAGCTGCGCGGGGGAGATACTTCTAAAATGGGAGAATGTATCTTTCCACTTTTCAGTGGAAGATTCAATCGGGTTTTACTCATCCTATCAAAGGAAGTGGTGTGAGGCCAGCCGCAGGGTTGGAGACTTACCTATTGGCCGGTACGTTGCTCATCCTACCGATGGAAGAAGCCACCCTCTATTGGGCCTCTAGCTCTCTGCACGCATGACTAGACAGCAGTGTATACCTCCCTATTTTGGCGGAGGATTCACTTTTGACCCAGGTGAGGCTCTTCATCGAAGATCCTTGTGGCGGTCCCAATTGAAGCACTTGCGACCGAGTTGCAGTAGCCTTCTCTAACATCGAGATGATTGTCTCTGTAGCCATGAAAAAGGTGCTCACTCCTTGATCATGGCGAAGACTCCGCTCACGCCCATCATTTTTTTTTGTCACAGCGTGAACTTTTTCCTCAAAGTTTGGTGCTCCTAATACGAAGGAGCCTGGACATAGAGGCGGCCCAATGCACTTATGCAGGGAGCCGTTGTAGAGCAGCGTACATAAGTAAGCACGCGACCAAGCAGGAAGTGTGTGCGTGAGGGAGAACCTTGCATGGAGGGAGATGTGAGCGTGCACCGTCTCAGGTCCTACGAGAAGATCTGGTCTTATCGTGCTCACGCGGCAGGCAACGGCGGTAGCAGCAGCAAGCGGTTGTAGAGGCGATGTACCTGCCTATGATTTAAGCGAAGGATTCATCCTCAAAATCACATAGGAGGTAGCTATACTATTCAAACCTGCTCGTAGCTGCCCCGCCCCATTGCGCTGCAAGAAACTTATGAACCTGATCGTCAGGTCGACCAGGCGCATTCGGAAAGAAGAGGACTGCGCGTGGGGAGGGAGGCGAGTTCGAAGCCGTGTAGCCAGTCGTGTTCCTACGAACGGTTCATTCGGATTTTTGCCCATCCTATCGAACGAAGGGACGTGAGGCCAGCCGTGAGCTTGGAGACTTACCTGATGACAGGAGGGTTGCTCATCATACCGATGGAAGTAGCCGTCCCTATCCCTCGGCGCTCATGTTTCGAGGAACAGTGCATATTTCCATGATCTAGAGAGTTCATTCTCGCCCTGGGCAACTGGTGATCGGTGGAGCAGAGGCTGCATGCTTGCCTACTGGTCGATGCACGATACGGCGTGTTGACGAGAGTCACATCTTTCTAGCTCTTTGCGCGCGTGGCTGAAGGCAGTGTACACGTCCGCGATTTTGTGGAAGATTTGTTCCGACTTTGCCTACGCCACTTATCGAAGTAACAAAAGGCAGGTCGTGGGTAAGATACTCACCTGTTAGCCGGTGCGCTACACGATCCAACGAACGAAGTAGTAAGAGGCCAGCCGCAGATTGGAGACTTACTTGCTGATCGGGGTCACTGTGGGTCCTACCGTACGGAGCAGCGCGGACTGAGAGGCGAGATCGAAGGCTTGCCTGCGGGACGATTCGCTGCTTATCCCGCTGAGCTGAAAAGGCAAGGGGCAGGCCGCAGAAGTTGAAGACTTACCAGAGGCTGATTCGCTGCTCATCCCGTCGAGCGAGGCAGTGGGAGGCAGCCACAGGGCTGGAGGCTTACCTCTTGGCAGGTGCACTACCCATCACATCGATCAAAATGATGGGGCAAGCAAGCTGCAGGCTTAGAAGCTTATCTGCTGACCAGTTTGCCGCCCATCCCCATAGCCGGAGCAGCAAGGAGAACACCGCGGGGTGAAGACATACCTGTCAGTAAGTGCGTTGCCATTCGAGAGGCGAAGGAATTTATTACTCAGCCGGCTCTTAATCTGTGTGACACGCAGGAAGTTCTTAAAATATTGTGACATGGCGCACAGGTTGAAGGCTGCAAAGAAAGCATCTCTGCTTTGGCTGACTATGCATCTAGTTATTCCCATGGCAGAATGACGATCAACTAAAAGCCGACATATGAACTCATTGTGGCTAGTGTGTGCACAAGGGGAAGATGACCTTCTTCATCTTTGGGCCGGGTGTCATCCGGAGAGAGGCTTTTGGTGGGCTTGGGCTTTGCTGTGCAGGGGTCCTTCCCCTCCGCTTTTGTCTGAGCATCTAGCTGCTATGTCTTGCTAGGGGCCAATCTATGTCAGAGCCAGATGTTCGCCTATATGTGTCAGAAATGACACGGGCCGCTCTTCTCTTGGCATTTTGGACCATCCATAACAATTGCATTCGTCAAGATAAGACTTCCTCCCTTCCTCATGTACAAAGATTGGTCATCTTGAACATCAGGCACAGTCTCTTTGTGTTTATAATTAAAAACAAGAATAAAAAAAAAAGAAGGGACCAGAAAGGTGGCTGCTCTGGTGCTATCGTTATGTGCATTTACTGATTCTGACAAGACTGGCTGTTCGAAGTACCCCATACAACAGGCCACTTTCACTAACCCTTCAAGCAAGCCCTGATGGGTGGCGAAAGGGCAGAGTTCTCAGGGGATGATGTCTGTGAGCAGCAGTAGAGGCCCATCAGTAACGAGCCTTTCAATTTTTGAACCTTGCTGAACGTGCAAACTTCATGAACTCCAAATGTTGGAACTGGCCCTACGCTGCCCAGCTCCAGCACTGTGAACCCCAAAACTTTGGACTGACAAAAACATTCTCATTCAGACAATTGCCTTGGCCCTGCCTGCTCAACCCACACCCCCAGTTCTGCCGAGTGTTGCACTAAAGAGTTCACCTTGTTTCTTGGTCTCTGTATGGCAGAGAAATGAGGTCAGAATCACGACAACTAGAGCTTGATCACTACGGATGTCAACCACCACATGAGCGAACCTTGCTGAACGTGCAAACTTCACGAACTCCAAATGTTGGAACTGGCCCTACGCTGCCCAGCTCCAGCACTGTGAACCCCAAAACTTTGGACTGACAAAAACATTCTCATTCAGACAATTGCCTTGGCCCTGCCTGCTCAACCCACACCCCCAGTTCTGCCGAGTGTTGCACGAAAGAGTTCACCTTGTTTCTTGGTCTCTCTCTGGCAGAGAAATGAGGTCAGAATCATGACAACTAGAGCTTGATCACTAAGGACGTCAACCACCACCTGAGCGTCAACCCTAGTCACTCTGATAGCACCAGACAATGGCAACGCTTCCAACCGAACCACCCTTAATGGTAGTCACTTTGCAGTTGTCAGTATGGGCACAAACTGAAAGGCCGATGATCAGCTAAAATTTTTGGACATTGGGAATCCATCATGATCGAGTCTTGCCCGCCAGACAACAGCATCGTTAATGAAAAATGCAGATGCTGGCAGACATACGAAATTGCATGCACTACTCCCAGACCACCTCAGTGTAAGCAGTGATGTCAGTCCACACACAAAAGAAGTCTGGGAGACAATCGACTGAGCTGAAAGAAAAGGTGCCGAACCAACATTTCACAAGGTATCTGACTGCTGCTCATCAGAGTGAATTTTGTTTGTACTTGCCACTCTGACTACCAAACAAAGTAGCACGTTGCTCAAGGAATCAAAAACAATGATCGCAATCATCATTCTCACACACTGAGCCTTGTCAACCAAGCACATATACTGCCCAATTTAACCCACGAATGCTTGAGTCAGCACATGTTCATAACTTGGAGCCACCAAACACAGACAGGCACTTCAACATTGGCACAGCATTAGAGGCTCCTCCTGTCTGCAGCTTCTACTGTACGAATGAGAATACTTTAGGCTCATTCTGTGACTTCCAATCTTTGAGAAAGCAAGGGCATGATGACTGACCCGATGTTTATAGCTGTCTCAACTTTGTCACCGGTAAGCACCCATATTTTCAAGCCAGCTTGAGCAAGTCGGTCAATTGCCTCCGGCACCTTGCAACGTTACACAGTTAGAAAAAGTTTTGAACAAAGTCAGCAAAGCATTCCCACCAATCGCAGGATCGAAGCTCCATGAAACTAAAACGTGCAAAACATGCATCAACGACTTCTTCTTATTACATGAACTTGAAACTCACAAACACTATGTTCCATTGCATGTATCTTCACATACAACGTGCCCAGATTCACACAAAAAGTGCACAGTTGAAAATTCTCTCAGACTCAAGTAAACTGTTTCATCAAGCTTTGGCAGCTATGGCCGCTGTCGACACAACAATAGGTATGCTTGCCTGTCTGTCTGCCTGCCTCTCACCGCTCATTCCTCGTCAGGTCGCACAATAACGCAGCAGGACTCTCAGGTGATCTTACCTGTCAATTTCTAAGACTCCCCTTCAGACTTGCTCATAATGTGACACAATGCAGGGTGCAGTCTTATGCAGTTGCTCTTTGGGGAACCACCTATCCTCTCCAGGTCCTTGGTACTGCCATCTTACCCTGCGCTGTTGACAGGGCAGTCCCCTTCTGTCTGTTCACAGCTCAGTGTTATGTACCTGATTGAACTTCCATCCACAAGGAATTCACACGTCCCCGTACACGCATGCAACTGACAAGTGGACTTGAAGGAGGCATTTCCACACAAAACCGGAGAGACAGATGCAGCGAAAGCTCAATACAAAGACAGAATTGAATTGGCAATTCAATTCTTATTTCCCGCGTCTTCCTCCAATCAATCAGGAGTGATTAATTCCAATTCCCAAGAATCACGCCCACATTTCAACAACCTCAAACAATCACACACAAAATTTCAAGAACACAACTGGGAGTCTTCTTCCTCCTCCCAACTCATAACCCTGGCTATGGTTGTCGTACCAGCAAACACCCAACACCAACACTCCAGAGATATATCTGAGCCAGCAACGTCCAACAGGAACTAGCGCCTGTCCAGCGCCCGCACGGAAGTGCAGCTCTAGTGTTCCCTGATGAAGGAGAAGTACCACCAGCAACTCGAAGAAGACAAAGTCCTACTTGAAGGAGACCACGAAGTAGCTGCCAGGAAGAATGGCTGGCAGTGCCCAACCTCCAACAGCGCAGCGAAGTAGGTCGCCTACAGTGATTGGAGCCCTGCTCTGGTGGTGCTCCCCACAAGCAAGTACGGCCTCCAGCTATGGCCGCCCATACCACAAAGAAGGAGGTAGCTGCGTTGCTGAAAATAGTGCAGCTCTCATCCAATCGACTTCGCCCAGCCAAATCCGAAAAGAACCGGAACTAACTGCCCTGAACTATTTCTACTTTCACTCACTATCGACCTAGGCCCAGCAAGACAGTGGGCCTACCCGGATCAGTAGTGTTACCAGTCAGACCAACGGAAAATCTGGTAGGCCCTGGAATCTTAGTATTCGCAGAAAAGTCCCCTATGGGGGAGGGCCTAACCAGTTGCAGATCAGGGCTCGACAGACAAAAAAATTGAAATCTAGCCATACTAATAATGCAGCTCGCTGAGTCCCTGCAAGGTCATCGCATTCCTACCCTCACAGGGAGCAAGGACCCCGAGCTAGGGGTATGCACGAGGTGACCGTCTGAGCGGTTGCACTTTCTGTTCAGCTCGTGAGCCTAAACAACGGACTTTGCAGACTTGAGAAGCTCTTTCCCACTAAACCAGTGATTTTCAGTGTGCGGTTGGAAAAAAAACTTCACAAGATACTCACAGTCAGGACCTGTACCCCATTGATCCTCAATGCTCTCGACCTGGTAACCCTTTCTAGGAATTGGAGGGCCAAACTGAGAGGCCTGTCCAGAAATGCAACGGATGGATTGAAAGGCAACAACGTAGATGCATTGTACACAAGACTTGCCATACTACACAGGCAGCAACTTTTTAGAAATGTCGTGCTTGTTATACAACTCAGATCTGTTTACCCAGACCCAATGCCCAAGACGAATTGGAAAAGGCAATCGCTGTTTATTCGCATGTTCAATCATCCTCTTTTGTGCCTTCAACATTTTAGTCCTGGCCTTCTCTATGTCCTTCTCATAGTTCTTGGCAAACTCACCAGTGTCAGGAGTCAGGACCTTTACCCCATTGATCCTAGTTCTTGGCAAACTCACCAGTGTCAGGAGTCAGGACCTGTACCCCATTGATCCTCGATGCTCTCGACCTAGTAACCCTTTCTAGGAATTGGAGGGCCAAACTGAGGAGGCCTGTCCAGAAATGCAATGGATGGATTGAAAGGCAACAACGTTGATGCATTGTACCCAAGACTTGCCAATGTTGCCATACTATGATACTACACAGGCAGCAACTTTTTAGAAATGTCGTGCTTTTCATACAACTCAGATCTGTTGACCCAGACCCAATGCCCAAGACGAATTGGAAAAGGCAATCGGTGTTTATTCGCTTGTTCAATAATCCTCTTTTGTGCCTTGAACATGTTAGTCATGGCCTTCTCTAAGTCCTTCTCATAGCTCTTGGCAAACTCACCAGTGTCAGGAGTCAGCTCTGGCTTAGCCTTATCGATAATGCTATCGAGAAGCTGACTAGGGTCTCTACCCCAGTGGAGTCTATCAGGAGTGAAACCAGAGGTGCTAGGAACAGATGTGTTATACATCAGCGTGTCTACTAGCTTCAAGATGTCTTCCAGAAGTCATGTCAAGTCTAGAGTGGAGATAGTCCTGACAGTAGGTGTTGCGGACTCCGCCAGGGTTCGATCCCTGGTCCGTGGGTTACCACCTGCCAGCTTGCTGTATTTATTCTTTTTTGTATTTACAAGTTTGAATTTTCTTGTTTTCTTTTTTTCTTTGTTTTTGCTTTTCTGATTTTAGACAGTTGGCGCCATCTGCATTCTGGCGAGCCCAAAATAGGTTAACCTCTCAGAGAATAACTCTCTGACTAGAGGTACTCTTGCCTCTGCAGGCAATGGGATCGGTCTACACAGGCGATTACCTGTCTCATCCCACGAGCGGTGGTCTTGCCCAAATCCGTGAAATCAATAGACACAAACTCATTTGGGCGTTCAGGGAAAGGTAAAGGTTTGAGCAGTCCCACAGGAGGTCGCCTGTGGACCTTGTTCCTCTGGCACATCTCGCAGGTCTCTAAGTTGTTATGAACTTGGTTGTTTGACAATTTAATTGCCACTCACACACAGAAGAACTCACACACGCCCATACATGCATGAGACACAGGGGAGGAAGAG